ACTCATACAAATCAGGTAGGAGAAAATTTTGCCATAAATTTCCCAAAACAACTTGTCCAACTGGAGATACAATTTCCAATCAACAATCATGTTTTAACTGAGGAAGAACCTGACATCAGTTGTCGATTAGAAAATTCTCGAAAATCTTTGCAGAAATTAACAACAGAGTGGTGTTTTTGTAGGCAGTGCGTGGAACGCAATTATACTGCCGCATACTCATCCGCATAAAATTACCATTGTTCCTGAAATTAAACCTGTGGATTATGAAAAAAGAGCGAGGGTTTGTAATTGGTTTATCAATCATGTGCATGGCGGACTTATTGATCCTAAGCTGACATTGTTCACAGCTGAGGCTAATTTTAATCTCTCGGGATATGTTAACATACAAAACAATAGGTCCTGGAGTAGTGAAAATCCTCATGCACTAATTCAACTTTCCATTTTTAAGTTCGAAAGATAGGCGTGTGGTGTGCAATTAGCAAAAACCATATCACTGGACTGATATTTTATAAAGGAACTCTTGATGTTACAATACATTAATGCAGTGGTTCTCAAATTTTTTACCTCTGTATGTTTCCATACTGTTTCTCCAGAGCTCTAATTTTCTCATGAATGCCTTCACTTTGTCATTCCAAGAAAGTACAGTTGCCTCATTCCCTTGAAGTGAAGTGTTGAGGATATTTAGTTTCTCAAATATATCTGTGAGGTAAGCCATTTTCAATAAAAAATCCTTGTTGCTGAAACTGTCTGCCAGTGAGCGATTTTCCCCATTTAAAAAACAGAACACCTCATGCCTCAGCTTAAACATTCTCTTTAATACCTTGCCTCTTGAAAGCCATCGAGCTTCACTAAAAAACAAGAGAGCAGTGTGTTCGGCACCCATTTCCTCACACAGCATTTTGAAAAGTCTAGACTTCAGACGATTTCAGAGGATGCGGCTGCTGCCGAACTATCAACGCTGTCTCTGGCATACACGTTTTATAATTGCCGGTAAAGAGAATAATTATTAGTTATTCTGAATTTCATGATAATTAAAGCCTGTACTCATCAAAAGTTTTTTCTATATGTATTTTTATTTTTGTTACTTTTCTAATTGATTTAGGGCAGTTTTAATTTTTATCTGAAGGAAAGTATGCTGCACCCCCCCCTCCCACAGTTTGAGAACCACTGCATTAATGCAATACTCGATTCAGTTTTGTTAATTTGGCACCTGCAGAAGAAAGATTCAGTTATATTATGCAAGGCGGTGTGACTCCGCACACTGCTAACGAAACTATCCAAGCATTACAAGGTGTGTTTGGGGAACTAAATGGCTCGGATATAATTATTAACAAGGGTCTGTGCCCCCATAGATCCCCAGATCTAAATCCCTGTTATTTTTGTGGGGAAAACTCAAAAGTATTGTGTATGCAAACAATCCACATGACCTGAAGGCTCTAAAACAGAATATTCTTGAAACAATTTAACATTCAGCAACGTGAATTGCAACAAGTTTCCTGAAATCTGTTTAAATGAATTCAGACATGTCTCACAGCAGAGGGTAGACATTCTGAACATCATCTATGTTGGCGAGTACAATATTCAATACTATATTTGATTAACAATTAACGAAAGAAGTAAACAATGTGTGCTAGCAGTTTCGGCCACATGGTGGCATGTTTCAAAGCAAGTGGTGCAGTGCCTTCACAGGAAATTGCTGATGGCAAAATCAACATGCAATCAGCTGATAGTAGCCCATTCCACGGTTAGCTTGCATACTACATGTGTCACATGCTCCTAGCAAGCATACAGTTCGTTCATCTTAGCATATTCATGAGTGAAAATAGTTTTACACTGTGATTTTGAGTGAAAAGGAAAAATAAGTATAAAGAGCATGAGATTACAATCTTTCATAGTGAGTGAAAAAATGATAAAGGACATTTCACCCAGACTGGTAAAAAAAGAATTTCAAAAAGTGAGGCATCTCAAATAGCCTTGATGGGTCACAAGACAATTTCACTCAATACAGTGATGGCGAATGTGTAAGCTCTGCTGATGACGATAAAAGCAATGGAGAATAAAATGTTGTAGGTACTTAATCACTGATTCTAATTAGCAAGTTTTATGTGATGTGTTCACGACAGAATAAAGACGAAGTACCACAACGAATGCTAATATTGTGTCATTTTCATGTTGCACAACAACAGGTCTAGGCACTGCAAATTGGAAATGATACAGAAGTGTTCTTCTATATGTAATAATGCTAATCATTCAATAGGTTTATTAATGTTTGATGTTCAGTTAATGTTTAATACTTGGAAAAATTTTTAAAATATGTTCTTTTATTTTTTGTGTTAAAAATTTGGGTGCATGGCTTATTCAAGGGCGTGATGTGCTTGAGAAAATATGGTATGTTACAAAACACTAAGAACCTGTTAGAAAAAAACCTGCCCAATGCAACCCCCCTCCAAATGTAAGCCTGTTAAAACAGTGTGTAAAGTGGAGTAAAGTTTAGCAAATAAATAAAAACCAGCATTACAAGAAGTCTTCAATGTGACAAGCGAGTACTATTACTGAGAAGCACTGCATTTCCCCAAATATGAGCCACACCCCCAAAATTATGTAATTTTGAAATGGGGAGGGAGGGATTATACACTTACATAATATTCTCATTTTCAACAATGTTCTTCACATTTCTCACTAAAGTAAGTTGGGTGTAAACTACAACATACACTTGTCTTACCATCAGTGAATAGTTCCACGCCTCCACTTCATTTCTTGGTCACAACAATGAATTATGTACCTTTACCATGTCCGGAAAATCTTATGACATTTCCTTTCTTTAACGACAGCTAATAAGCCACACATATGAATTTAAAAGTGTCAATTCTGGGTAAAAATGTGTGGATTGTATTAAAAAAATACAGTAGTAGATCTACTACACAAGTCATACTGTTAAGGTGTGACACTGTATAGTCTGGTGGACAAGTACCAATGTCCTGGAGCTCAGTCTCAAATGCAGACATGAACCACACTGCAGGAGGGGATGGGGGAAGGACAGTGGGCCTGGGGAGATGGTGGGACTCTCTCATTCACACCCTGAGAGAATGAAAGAATGCTGTTTCTAAGAACTAGTCTCCAGTTGGCCTTACTCTGCAAATGGCCCTTGTAATGGCTCTAACTGCCCTTCTCAGGGCCTCTTGCTCCTTCTGCCTGAGGCACCTAAAGGGATAATCTATAATTGCTTTTTCCAGGGCCTCTGCTCTTTCACTCACTGGCTACTCTTCCTGGTCTCCACGATGTTCCCCCACCTCTACCCCTTCTAAAGTTGGCTAAATATTACCCTGATGATGGAGACAGTATATTCATCTGAAACATTCATAACCACTGCCATGCTACAGAATATCATGACCATGAAGGCCACAATATGAACTTTCACAACTGTGAAAACCTCAAATCCCATATTTACTAAAACTGTCCAATGAAATTCAACAGAAAATCAAGAGAGGTACATTAAAATGTTTTCTTCTTGGTGCTTTTGTTTTTTTGTCTCATGCTTTAGAATACAGCAAACATATACTGAAGATCCCTGTAGTTAATATTCAGGACAGAATAATTTTCTTGGTCCTCGTGAAAAAGGAAGTTAAAAATAAACATTTCAGTGGCTCCATTTTCAGGACTTACAGCTCTAGGATAAAAGTCGAAGGTATTTTCAAATGCCCTGTAACTAATAATATCAACTTAATTTCCATATTTCTTTATCTAGGTGGAAGATAAAAATAAATATATCTGCTTTCGTAACTCACAGTGCAGTTCATACATTTCTACCTCCTTTCTTCAGGCTTCATTTCCATTTTATAAAGGATCACAAAGAAGGATACTTTTCTTTCACACATCTGCAGCAACAGGCTCATGAAAACAAATATTTTTGTGTTTAACATTTCCAATGACTTTGAAGTTCAGCAGAAAACAAGGAGCTCAATGGCCATATATTTAGGCACTGCATGCTACCTTTATGAAAATATGGTTTCTCTCTTGGAAACTAAAAGTTTATTCCATATAATTTTCCTTTTAACATAAAGCAAGTAAACAAAAATTAGGATACTGGGTCCCTTGTCTCATCATAAAAAATGTCAATTCGAAATTCTGCTAATAGAACCCAAAGAAGCATGGCAACCTGTGTCAGAACATGGTACAATATGCACAATTTGTCACTACCAGGTTTAGTCAAAAAATTAAAAGAAGACCAAATTTGTATATTTAAAAAAAAATTCATCCCAATGGCACAGTGACAATGATAACATTTCTTTCTAAATTATTTTTCTGCCTCATTTAGTTACGGAGCTTTGATTCGCAAAGCAGATGAAAAGTCTTCACCCCACACATGTGCATATTAGAATCTCCACCTTAGTTATGTAAGCCTGCTTACTGTACATCTGTTCCCTACAAGCCAAGCACACATAACTTCCTGAGGACCACACCCATCCCCCAAGTTGAAAATTGCAGAGAACACATTAACATGCAGAAGGGTGTGCAACCCAACTTGGGTCTTGGCCTCCTCTGCCGATATTTTCTAGAACTCCCTTTCATTGACTTCAGCAGTTTCAGATGCTTCCTGTACTACACAGTGACTGGAATTTTGGTCTACTACGGTCCCTTCACCCATCTAGCCTACCAAGGTTAGCATTTTTGTGGGTTCACCAGCATCCATTCTGGCCATACGTCTGGCCCATCTCAGTTGCTCTACCTTAGGAACTTTCACAGTAGATTCCAACAACCACCTGACAAGATATTTTCTCACAAAAGTGGAACACCCATTCAAGAGTTCTTTGAGGAGCAGCAGATTTGAACACTAATGGGCATTCCACCATAGCAGTCACTACAGCCTGTGCTGCTCCACTGACCCACCTAGCCTCCAGCCACAAATTGATGCACAGTGAAGTATAAAATTTAACATTTTTTAAATTCGCAGTGGGGGATGGAGTCTAGTTGGGTCCACTTGGCACATCGGCCACTGATGAGCCTATTGTACCTGCCCAGGGTGATTATGATGGAGAATCTGGTGGAATGAAAATTGGCCGGGGAAACCGAAGTATTGAGGGAAAACCTACCAACATACATTTTGAAGACCATGTCAGTATATAATGTTCAGTCACCAAAGAAGGGGTGAATGTGGCTGGAATTCAGATAATTCATTAAGTACACAATCAAATGTCTGTGCATGTGGGAAACAGTTTCTAGAAAGAAGCAATAAAACAGAACCTGCCAGCCACTGACTCACTCTGCATCTATGAGATGGCTCACCAAATATGACTAAATGGAGAAACCACTTGTGAGCAGCCACGTTCCAATGGCAAGTTACAGGAAATACAGACGGTCTGACAGCCTCTCACTTGGTGCACTGTGTATGCTCTGTCCCACCAACTGTGCCAACTTGTGTGCATACTGAAACAGAAATCATGATAAGGTATAAAGTGTGCCAGCAAGCAATGTGAACAATGGCCGTCATCCTAAGTATATGTTTTGCAACACATTAAAAGAATCACTACCCTTGGGAACTTAATAACGAACCTTCGGGTTTCACAGAGGGCAGAGAATTTCTTGACCAGCTGTGTGATCAATAGGACTCTGCTCCCTGAAGTTCATTTAGTATTTAAAAGAAATATCACAAATTTTTAAGTCTATTATTTAATGAATTACAACCCATTAAAACATGGGATTCCTTGCCAATCACCTCTGCTACATGCCAGTAACAGGGAGGTAAACATGCACCAAGACTCACCTGACAAGGGGCAGGCACCCTGATGGTACCAGGCCAGTTGTAGTATAGATGACACAGCTTGTAAGTGAGCCACTGCACATGGTCTGTCTTCATGTTGCAGCTGTCATATATGACCACATAGTGTGTTGGGGTCACAGTGCCCTGAAACAGCACCAAGTTTCTTATGACATGAGCAAATTTCTACCGATATACAATCACACTGCATTCTACACAACTAACTTCTTCTTTAACTTCTTGTATAAGATTAGCAGGCCAGCTTGTGGTCACAGGAGCAGTCACGTGAAACTGATTCGTTCATCTGTTTCAAGCATCTACTTCAAACCACTGCACAGTGTAGAACACACCAAACGTATACACGTCCAGACAAGGAACACACATGCCATATTCTATGATTATATAAAGATACATATCATGGGAACAGCATACCAATATCCACACACCACAATCCGTACATCATAGAAACTTGTGTTTGGGCTTCACAACTGGGCTTACTACGCAGAAAGCTTTTACAACAAAGACCTACAAACAACATACATGCCTAATTTTCTATACAATAGCAGTGAAACCTTAAAAGTTTAAGTTGGCATACATATTCTTAACCTACCATCAGAAATCCTTTAATATTTTTTTCAACATTTTTAATATTTTTAATAATACATTCAACACAATATAAATTCTATATATGATATATCTTTTTATTTATCTTTTATCTTATGTATTTGCTACTTCAATTATAACATCAACTTGAAGCAAAAGTTTTATGTAGTATATAATGCAAGGTGTTGCACCAATAAGGATCCATATCGCTATGATATGATCCATCGGCCTGATGGTGGTCTTATGCAAGTAAAACATGTAGCAGCAATAAAGATCAAAATTAAAACTGAGTTTTGTTGTGTTGACAGCTGTTGTGTTTTAGGTTATATCAGCACACTTTAACACAAGGAACATCCTCCTGAAGTCTGGCACATTCCTCCTGGGACACCCTGTATATATAACACTGAACTAGCTGGACCAAGCACGTGTCCTTATACTAATACAGTGAATGACCAATTATGGCCACATCTGCTTTCCAAAGGTCTGCCTGGTGTTGCAACACAGATCATCTCAACAACAGTACGTGAGTCCCCCATCCCTCACCCCCCATCTATGATCTATGTATTTCCTTCATAAACCGTTCATGTAGAAAGAAGACAAAGCATTGCAACTTCATGACTCTTAGTATTCAAGTTATAAACAATAAATAATTTCCAGAAAATTCTTGTTAAAAATGAATTAAGAAATTTGTATTCTTGAATTTAACTTACACAGAATGGGCATTTAACTGAATAAACCTAAAATGTTACATACTGTCTGTAGCCCGCCAGATTTGGCCCATTATTGTCAAAGGCAACACAATGAGTAGGATTAAAAATAGAGCACTGAAAAAAATGTGTTGACAGTGGAGAAGTCTTTGGTGAGGAAAAATCATACAAGGACTTAGAACTGCCCATAATCATGTATGTCCTGGAATCCCTGTACCTGCTGAACACGCTGGCTCACCAAGAAGAAGTCATACCAGTTCCTTCTGGTGACAGTGTGGTCCACTATGGTGCCAGGAGGTGCATTCTCATAACCTTTTTGACTTACTTCTGCATTCTGAAACACAAAACAGCTCATGCAGTCCTGTATGAAGGTGTGCAGTATGGTTCTGTGCTCCAAGTTTGTGTCTACATTCCAGTCACATAGAACACAACAAATTTTCTTGGCATGTGGAAGCCAGAAAAACGGTGTGCCTCTTGGGGATTTACACTGCAATGACTAAACACATCTTTACAGCTTCACTACTACAGCTATGAATTAGCCCCATACACATACATGTTAAGAGCTACCTGTGTGTCCCTAAACAGTCCAGCAGAATATGGAACATGTGAACAAACCTGAAATTAGTGAGCTAAGAAAAACCCTTAGCAACTACAGAGCAGTCTTTTTCTGAAGTGACAAGTTTAGGTGAAGAGTGATTTCCAGTTCTTCAGATGAGCAGTGAGATCTCCTACTTTGCTGGCCACCCACCTCACATCATGTAAATACTAAAATTTCTGTATGCTGCTTACAAGGCTAGCAGCCGCTTTCTTTAGCTGTACCATCTTGGCTCCTTCATTCATCCAGTAATGCCAAGCCATCTCACTCTTCTGCTTTTTCAGTCCCTTATCACTTATCAAGAAACATCCATTTCTTCCCATAACACATTTCACTCCTGTCTCTCTTCTCTCGTCACCCAAAAACATCTTCGTTAAGCAATAAAACCTAACCATCCTTATTTGACTTCTCAATTTTTCAGTGAATGGGCATATTTCACCTCCACTGAACATAATGTATGGATGTTACTGCCCTACTTGTACAAACCATTTCAGCGAACACTCCCACTGAACCCTGAATTACACACATTTACTGTCTTGTGACCTCTACGCAGACTAGGCATGCAACCTCACTCAGACCAATGCGCAAGGTTCAACAACTTACAAGGGCTGAGAAGATTCGAGTATTGATTCGCTTCTGACATATCACCACGGTAAGCTTTGGGTGGTAGTCAGGGGCAATGTGTTGGAAACAATCCACAAACTGAGGCACCTCATAGTCTGCTGACACTTGCAGCTGCCCATCGCCCACGCCATCCCGATAAATCACAATTCGGTCAGGAAACTTGTGGTTCACCTGCAAACAGTTTCCCATAGTATCTGCATGTGAATGTTAGCATATGAAGGACTCAAGGTTCTCACAGTGGTGGCTCTGAAGAGTATTTTCTTCTGGGATATAACACTGTTTAGTTTGTTAAAAGTCAACTGATGTTTCAGATGAACACATCACCTCCATCTTCAGGGTCGAAGAATAAGCCGAGAAAGAGACCAGCGTGAAAGCAAGTGGCAAGCATAGCAGACTCTGAAGATTGAAGCAATATGCTCCTCCAAAATGTCAGTTGACTTTCAATGGACTATGCGGTGTTATATACCATAAGATAGTACCGTTCTTAGCTGCACACAGTTCAGATATTTCAGGAATAATTTCATACTATCAATGCCACACTTATTTTCATCAGAATACAAAAGCATAATATTGCCACAGACTGCTCAAAGACATTAAGAATAATGAATTACAAATATTATGATATCTGATACAGATGGAAATTAATGCCACCCATCTACTGGAGTTCTGTTTCCTACCAAACACCCAAAGACAAGAAGAAATTCATTCTGTACTCTTGTCAGCATGTAGGGTAGCCATAACTGTTAAAGCTATGTGCAAGTATTGCAGTAGTTTTTGGATGTGATTTGAAAACATTCCCAATCTTAAATGAATGAGTAAACTTGAATGAATGTATAAGTAGTGGGCCTTCTCGGCCCTTGCACCGCGACCCACAGTGGTCTATTGTGCTTATGAGTAAACTTACTTTCTTAATTAACATTTTACATCCTATATACTTCGACATTAAAAAGAGAATTGACCATATCCCAGGAGAACAAGTACCTTAGCCCCCAGTATGCCACTGTTACCTGAGTATACATTTTCACAGGAAAATGGATTTCAAATGATATTATTACATGTTTGCCTGCAAAAGATTTTCGGAAGTATGAAAGGAACTGGATTGTAGCACAAAACAAGTTCCCATTGCTTCTGTGCATATCACTGATCTTTGCATTCGCTTGCTGCAGATATGAATCTACTTCTATACAATTCACATTATAAAGAGCCAGAAATTATCTTTCCTTAGACCTCACTGAATAATCACCATATCAAACAAAATGTTATAAACAAAATACAGTAAAACTTGGTTATAGCAACATCGGTTTCTGCGACACCTTGTCTATTGCGTCAAATATTCAATGGTACGAACTAATTCCTCATAAAGCAACTGTTTTTATACCTTGCTTAGTACGACATGCACAAATGCATCAACCTCGTATGTAACGTCATTTTCATTCCTGAATTTCTCTGATATCGTGGGAAAGTTCGATGTGTCTGCCCACCCTCACTTTCTCTACTTGCTGACGTGACTGTCCTGGAAGAATACGACCGCGGGCTGCAAGAG